TTAAATTAGTTTTAGTTAGTGCATAACTTTTTGTTTTTGTAAGTGTTACGAGAAACCTAGTTTATTTTACAGTAACATTATATATCAGATGCAATCCTAGCTAAGAGCAAGATTATTGGGAGATCCTTACTCTTAATCCTTAAAAAATATACATATATGCGTATATAATTACAAGTTAAGGATTTTACGGAAACCGAAACCAAAAATCTCTTAAATAAGAGATTTTTGATTTCGATTTCCGTAAAGTCCTTAACCTACAATTATATACACATATATAATATATACATACGTATATATGTTTTTTAAGGACCAAGAGCAAGAACTTCCCAATAATATTGCTCTAAATTGCATAGACTTAACTGGAATTTTTAAGTTAAATAAATCTGAGTAAAGTCAACTACGTCGCTTGGATACTGATCGTATCTGATAAATTCTGTCGAAATACTGCCCATTGCCTATTACCCCCATCCACCGACCATATTCTAAGATTAAAGAATATAATAAGAGGGTGACAAGATCATCATAACGTTTACGTAACTGTAATTTAATTACACAATTAAGATCTTTTCAACTTTTCCATTACTTGTTATTAACTTATTACCCCACTTTCTGTCGTTCCATTTCTCGAAGAAAGATCATCATGAGCTTTAACAACAGAGATAATGATCAGGGAATAGAGCCCAAGCGTTTGTTATGGCAAAACACGTCGTCTTACCAAGCCAGCAGCAATATTTTACTCGTCACCATCGTTGCTTTCACTATTATCATCATCATCGTCTTTGCTTACCATCTATACGCAAGATTCGTTCTCGGCCGCCATCGACCCACCTTCCAAGGCCAGTCTTTCACCGTCATTACTCAACCGCCCAAACGTGGCCTCGACAAAGTTGCAATTGCTTCTCTCCCTACATTCATTGTTGGAGTCAACGGTGATGATGGCTCGGCTACGGAGTGTGCAGTGTGTCTAACCTTGTTGGAGGAGAAAGATATGGCGAGGATGCTACCAAACTGCAAGCACGTGTTTCACGTGACATGCGTTGACACATGGCTCACCACGAGCTCTAGTTGTCCCATTTGTAGAACTGAAGTCGAGCCGGGTCAAAGGCTTGAGCCTGAGCCAAGAGAAGGGCCAGTTTGGGACGGTGCATCTTCGTCGGATTACAAGAGTGGCAGTGGCGTGTCATCGGTTGTGAGGTTAGATTCGTTTCGGAGGATTCTGACAAGAGAAAGATCTTCGGACAGGAACGATCATTCTCGCGTTGACCAAGATCGTGTATTAGATCTTGAAAGACAATGAATAATAAGTATGCTTGTTCACGTTACTATAGTACTCTTGCTCCTTTATGATTTCTATCTATTTGATAAAATCTTTGTATGTTATTGTACAAAATACACATTATTACAAAAGTCGTCGTTGTTGATTAACGTATGAAAAGAAGAAAATAAAAAGTGTTGAACTTGTTGTTTCAAAAAAAGAAAAGTGTTGAACTTGTAAAATACAATTCAGACAGCTTTGTGATATACTTTCAATGTGTATCTACATTATGACTTTTAATCTTCCTTCTGACTGTAGACATTCTACATTAATTCATTAAATAGCAATTTGTGATAAATTGTAACTTTCTTCTATTGATTACTTTTGATTTTTTTTTTTATTCTTGATTTACTGCATAATTTTTTGTTTTCCTAGTGTCACAAAAAACTTTTGATTTATTTTATCGTAACATTATATATCAAGTGCAACTCTATACCAAGAGTTTTTGACGTATTGGTAATGAAACTCCAATTGGAATGCCTGTCATGGGTTCAAGTCACCTTAGCTACCTTCCCGTCCAACTATATTGTGTGTGCCCGAATGAAAAGTTTTGTGGGCTTTAATCTAGACTTACCGTTCAGAAATTTTTTCTTTATAGAATCTTTATCTACATTTTAGCCCCCACGGATATAAAAAAAAAAAGAAACTACTATAACTGCAACCCAAACTAAATTGACATAGACTTGATTGGAGTTTTAAAGTTAAACAAATCTGAGTAAAGTCAACTACGGCCCTGGGATTAGTGATAGTATCTGATAAATTCTGTCGAAGTACTGCCTATTTCCTACATCCACCAATCATATTGTAAGACTAAAGAATATACTTCAATAAAAAGGTGACAAAATCATCAAAATGTTTACATATCATAATTTAACTACACACGTTAAGATCTCTCTAATCTCCCCCATCATACTTGTTATTAACATATAGCTACCCCACTTTGTGTTGTCACACTTCTTCATATATTCATCGAAGAAATAAACATAATATCATCATGAGCTCTGACAACAGAAACAATGATCACCAAATCCATCCGGACTTCTGGCAAAATGCGGCTTCTTACAATGGTAGCAGCAATATTTTAATTATTATCATCCTTGTTTTCTCTATTTTTATCCTCCTTGTCTGTGCTTATCATCTATACCCAAGATTCGTTCTACGCGGCCGTAGATCCACATTCCAAGGCCACTCTTTCACCGTCATTACTCAGCCTCCCAAACATGGCCTTGACATTGTTGTCATTGCTTCTCTTCCTACATTTGTGGTTGGAGTCAACGGTGATGACGAATCGGCTACGGAATGTGCAGTGTGTCTAGCCTTGTTTGAAGAGAAAGATATGGCCAGGATGTTACCTAACTGCAAACACGTCTTCCACGTGACATGCGTTGATACATGGCTTGCAACGCACTCCACTTGTCCTATTTGTAGAAGTGAAGTCGAGCCCAGTCAACGACTTGAGCCTGAGCCAAGAGAAGGGCCTGTTGGTGACCCTGCATCTTCGTCGAATTACAAGAGTGGCAGTGGCAGTGGCGGGTCATCGGTTGTGCGGTTAGATTCGTTTCAGAGGATTTTGACAAGGGAAAGATCTTTGGACGGGGACGATCACTCTCGCATTGACCAAGATCGTGTATTAGATCTTGAGAGACTATGAATAATAAGTACTCTTGTTCACGTTACAATACTACTCTTGTTCCTTTATAATTTCTATCGTTCTTACTAAAATCTTTGTATGTTACTATACAAAAATACACATTATTACAAAAGCCGTTGTTGATTAACGTGTGAAAAGAAGAAAATAAAAAGTGTTGAACTTGTAAAATACAATTCATACAACTTTGTAATATTCTTTTCAATGTGTGTTTACATTGAATACTCTTCTTCAAGTCAAACTAATGTGGTTACCACACGTTTACACTTTTATTTTTCTCTCTGACCATGGACATTTCAGTGATTTCACATTATCTCTAGTCATACATATGTATTGAGATAAACTTGAATTATCATTTCTGTTGACAAAAAAGTCAAACTTATCATCTTTAAATTTTCCTGAATGCCATCTTATTTCATTGAATGTAAGATGCTTAGTGGTCCTCTCGTCCATACATATTTATATTCGTAACCAATCATCAAATTTTAAAATATTTACAACATATATTATACGTTTAGAGTGGATTGATGAATCTTTCTGTTTAGGTAAACCAATTTGCACCATACAAAATAACTAACTAACTCGTCGTATACCGGATTGATGATAGACAAGCCATTCTATGTAACGAGCCAACTCTTAATAAACGTATAACAATAGGCAATTCAGTCTACAACATGTATCTGCGACTTTGATATATTCCAAACTTATACATACGATTTCTAAACTTCCAATAAACCTATCACCAATAACACTTTAATAGTCTAAAATTGAATAATAGACCTAAAATATATAGTTTCAAAAAAAAAAAAAAATCCTAAAGTGTATAAACTTTTCTTGGTTCTTGAATAGCCACATGCTCTAGTGTTTGAACAAATCCATGTTAAAGTCAACAAAGGTGAATTTTCTAAACCCCCTTGTTATCTCCTTCACATTTTTCTCCACCCACCAACTAAAGTTATCAACCTTTGAAAAAAAAATATCAAAACAATAACATTTTCAAAATCCTATATTACTTATCTAACACATTAGAAGTCAGTAATCATTTCTGTTCACTTTCCTTCCACATTCCACAATGAGCTCCGACGATAGAGATCATTACTGGTTCAACCATCATGAACACCACTCCTTCTGGCCTAATCCTTCTACTTATGACCGCAACAGCAAGATCATGCTCGCAGCAGTCGTCTCTTTATCAGCAGTTATCCTCTTCGTCTTCATTCTCCATCTCTACGCAAGATTCGTTCTCCGCCGCCGTAGAGACACTTTCCGTGGCCTCCCCGTCGTTGTACGCCACCCTTTCCAGACCCCAAAACGTGGCCTAAACCCAACACTCATCGCTTCTCTCCCTACTTTCACCGTTGGAGCCGTCAGTGAAGAGACGGCAGCTACTGAATGCGCCGTGTGTCTAAGCGTGTTGGAGGAGCAAGACACGGCTAGAGAGTTGCCGAGCTGCAAACACGTCTTTCATGTTGATTGTGTTGACAAGTGGCTCACCACTTGCTCCACGTGTCCTGTTTGTAGGACTGAAGTTCAGCCGAGGCCGAGACTTGAGCCTGAGCCGAGAGAGGGACCAGTGGGTGGTGACGGTGCCTCCTCACCACCCACTGCACCGCCGTTGGTCAGGATAAACTTGTCGGCAGAGGCTGCTGCATCTTCTTCGTCAGATGACAAAACAGCTGTGTCGTCGGTTTCGAGGTTAGATTCGTTTAGAAAAATCTTGACAAGGGAAAGATCTTCGAACAGGATCAACCATTCTTGTGTTGACCAAGATCGTGTCTCCGACAATGAATCGAGATAGATATATACACATATATACTGCATATAAATCATACAATACGTCGATAATCTTTAGTTTTATATACTATACCTTGAAACTCTGTTTTTTTTCTTTTGTGTGTGGATATTTTTGTGTAATGAAACAATATTTTAATGCGATACATCTTGATACAAAAAAGGGTTAGCTTTCAATAACCATGCGGTTGCTAAAAGTGATGATTGATGATCATAATAAAGCCTAGAATGATGAAGGGTAACGACCAGCTACTGGTAAAGATCCGTCTTGCTCCGCTAAAATCTGAGGATTCTTGTGCACTTGTTCCCTGCGTTGATGTGGTTGCAGCCACTATATTGCCATTGCTCACTTGCTTACTGCAACATAAGACTTCAAGCGCATGAAACAAAGAATGTGTAACATTTGAAATGTTAATTTGCATTAATAGTAAGTTCATCATTCTAAAAGCCGTAACTAGTGAACAGAGTTAAGTCATGCTTTCACTCAATATTTAATAGAAATCATTACAAAACAATCAGATCTGATTTAAATTTGGACCAAAACAGCCTGAAACTTAGCTTCATTACCTAGAAGGGAATTTACATGTTCCTTGACCTGAAAACAACAAAAGAAACCAAACTTTAAAACCAAAAAATACTATTCATTTTTTGCTGACCCTATTAATTGACCTATAATAAGAGAGAAAAAGGTGGAAATTTTTACTGGGGTTAAGGGAAGTAACAGCCGCATTGTTACTAAAGTTACAAGCTTCATCTTCGGGACCATTCTTCAGATAATAGTTATTGAAAACATACGACGCCATCTTCAAGATATCAGACGGATCATAGCAAGGTCCGCCTTGCTGGATCCCGGAGCAGTCGGTGCCTCCTGGACCACAAGCCCAGTCAATAGCTGCTTGAAGAGACGAATCTTCTGCGTTGTTCTTGGCCACACACCAGAGATCCGTCTCTGACGCCTGTCCATTGAACTGTCCAGCAGTGAAGGTGATGACGAGGCAGAGATGCAGTAGGATGTAGTGGAAGTGAAACAGAGAAGGAGTATAAGAGATCATTTTTAAGAGAGGAAGGTAAGCAACGACGGAGGCTTCGAGGTGGAGTTTAGAAATGAGTAAGTGAGTGATCGGTTTAGGGAAAGATCTAACAGTTTCTCGAAGAGGAAGATGAAGAGAGTGAATCTGAACGAGTCAGTTTTTTTTTTTACGTTTTCCGTGGCGGTTATAAAGATGCGGGTGAATAATGTAATTTTGGACACTTTACCGAGTTATCAGTTATTAAACGCGGTAACTTTCGTTTAAAATTAATTTGGGCCGTATTAAAACCTTCTGGGCCATATACGTACCTTTAAAATGAGCCTAAAGTCTATAGTCTAACTCAATAGAGGATTAGGAGATCTATAAACCAAAATTATCCAAGCATCTTATGAACGTTACTTATAAACCAAATTTCAATCCTTACTCTAAGTTGGTTTGTAACAAAGTTACAAAAATGTATGATAATCGAGAGATTTTCTATTGAACCCCACAACCAAAATAATAATGGATGTGTCAGGTTGTTAATATTGAATTTCCAAGCTTTGAAGCTTTCTTTATTTCTTTTCTTCTTTATCTGTTATAACTTATAAGCTGTGACCATCTCATATCATTTTGAACCATTAACATTGAAAAGATTATAGTTAAAATGACTTTGTAAGTTGTCACTTGTCTTCCATTGGTCCAATGAGATACTATACTACCAATTTGCTTAAAGAATCTTCAAACCCAAATCATGAAAAAATACCAAAAAAAAGAAAAAAAAAGAAGACAACCATATATTGGAGAATGTAGTGGTCCAGTGCAGGAACACAGCACGTGAAATCACAGCTTAGCTAGCCTTCATATGTTGTCCACTCGCATTCCTCTGTTTTCTTTTCTTTCTTTTTCACCATAAGTTTAGCTAAGCGTTTATAGTTAATCATCCAACAGAGTTTATAAAATAATTCAAACTAAGGATATATTCATTGTAAAGAGGGGTTTTTGAATAAATTTATACATTACATGCAACAAACAACCAAAGAATATGTCGTTTAACAAACCTAAGAGCATGTTTAATGGAGGTTGCTTAGAGAGATGCTTAGGAGGAGAGGAGTGCTTAATTTGAAGAGAGAGAGTGTGGAAAGTGCTTAATTAAGTACTTTTCACACTCTCTCTCTTCAAATTAAGCACCCCTCTCCTCCTAAGCATCTCTCTAAGCAACATGAGTTAAAGGTGCTCTAATAAACAAACTCGAACAATGTTTCTTGTTTTTGGAGAAGAAATTAGAAATGTGATATAGAGCAGAAGATGATGAAGAAAAAACTATTCAGAATGAATCTTAATTATACAATACTTGTACACTCCAAATAAAAACTTTACAAATCAACTATCTCTTTGTACAAACAACAATTGATGACTTTCTTTACATTAACCCCACAGAAAACGACATCGAATAAAAGATAAGATACAACAAACTGAATTCATCACAACTTAAAAAATGGTGATAAGAATAAAAGTTATCTTCTAAAATTCTTGAGCAATTATAGAATCAATAACCTTTTGCAAAGAAAAGTGAAAGTATATATGTTGTTCATTGTAATGACTTATCATACATTGAGGAGCTCTTCTTTTTCAATAGACGGCCTGATGTCGACGGCCTCATTATCTCTGGTTCCTGTTGCTGGTGAATAATTTGCATTCTCCATTTTTTTGAGGCTTTGTTGTTGATACACTTGTTGAAGTCTCTCTATTTCCCTCTTCATTGCTTCTTGATGTGCTGTGAATAATGAAAAGATAATTGGGTGTGTTCTTATACTGTCAGTGATAACTGGATACCTCCACGAAAAAATTAAGAAAAAGAATATAACTAATAACAGAGACACAAATACACATACATCCATCTAATGATCCAAATACCAAAAGAAATATTTGCTATTTGTTATTAATTTCTAGTATATAGTTTTAATAAAGTTCAATCTTTGTCTTGTTATAGTTATAAAAACTATTAACATTGTATATTTTGAAGTTTTCTTTATAAAATTAGGATTTTTTTGAGAAAATAATTAAGGGAAATTGATAGATAAATGAAATTAGACAGTAAAAAGTAAATAGGGTAGAAGATAATTTACCGTCTTTGAAAATTTTGTCTTGGGCTAAGGCAGCGATTCGTTGCTTGAGAGCGCTATTGTCGACGTTGAGAATCAAACGCTGGTGGTCCAAGAACGCAACTCTTGGCGATAACACTGACACTTCCGCCTTTGAAATCATTTTTATAACAAAAACAATTTAAGATTTACAATCATAAATTGTTCAGTTGAAAAAAAAAAAAGATTTACAATCATAATATATAGGCCATGAAACCGTAAAATGTAAATGCACCTGTAATGAAGTAACGCTACGTTCCAGCTCTGTTTTTTTTTTTTTTTTTTTTTTTTTTTTTTTTTTTTTTTTTTTTTTTTTTTTTTTTTTTT